TGTGGAAATGGCAACAAAAAAACACGTGAGAGCTGTAACCAAGACAACTGTAACAACAGGAGTAGAGAGCCACCAAGGTTTTTCAAGTCCCTCTCTTACTCCATTTTGCCAACCCAAACTTCCAGGTACATGACGGGACACCTTGCTTGTTTTTGTTGTTTGCTCTCCTCTGGCTGGGTGCTGGCAGGTGGAGGGCAGTGATGTTGGCAGGTGGAGGGGCAGTGATGTTACGGGTGGAGGGGCAGTGATGTTACGGGTGGAGGGGCAGTGATGTTAGCTGGGTGCTGGCAGGTGGAAGAGCAATGTTTAGTCCAAATATTTCCATTGCAACGGCTAATGGAAATGATTGCAGCTGTGGATCTGTTTGGGGGTTGCTGGATGTGGTAGCTTGGCTGCTGTTGTTCCTTTTCACCTTTTTGGATTGGCTCTTGCTTCCAAAATGGCCATCTTTTAATTTTATTTTTTTTCTGTCATTTCTGATTTGTTTTGCCTCAATTCTCAGCCTCAGCCGTATAAATCTTTTTACGAGTTTTTGTTGTACTCCACAGCATGACGGAAGCCTGCTGGAGAGGGCCTGAGCTTCTTTCTCCAAGACACCCACTGCGTTGGGGAGCTACATGAGGGAGGAACCAGTCTTGGTCCTAAATAGTTCCTCAATTTGGTGAATGAAGTCAAAGGCTTCTTGGGAGGGACGACAAAGAGCACCTGCTTTGAAGTCTTTCAAGTCCACTAACAAGCTGTTGTCACCAGAAGGACTCTCATCATGGTGCTCTGTTGCAATTTTGCATTTTTCACAGATGCTGGCAAACTTGATGATTTTGTGGACGATGTAGCCTGCAAGATGGAAGAGAATACATTTCTCAGTTTTTGTGAGGTCAGGTGCTGCTGCTCTGTTCACCGCCATCAGCTGTTCCACTCTGACTGATGGAGTGATTTTTGGCTCCCCTGTGTCCAGGAAGTCTGCCAAAAAGCTACTGTGGTCTTCCTGGTAGCTCCCAGAGCTGATGGTGGTGAGGAACTGCCCCACAGATATGATTCTCAGTACATGATGGAATTCCACTGGAGTTGGGACAGGATTTTTAGACCTCACACAGCTGAATGTATTTTCAAGGCAGTCTTGTGTGAACCTTGACGTTAACACAAACCTGTGTCCTTGTGTAAGTATCTCCTCTTGTATGGCCAAAATTGATGTTGTTGCCATTATCCCCCCTGTTTGAACAGGCTTCCAACCTCCCTTTTGACCTATCTTTATCCCACGAAACAGATGGACGATGTTCTGGAGGAAGGTGATGGCCTTTTGGTACTCCTCCATCTTGAGCCTGCTCAGGGCTGTAATTGGATGGCGAGATGACATCAGATCAAACCAACGATCAACCTGCTCCAGGAACCACGCTGTCGTCAGGTATGACAGAGGGCGGTTTTCTTGCTGCACCATGTATTTCAGCCCAGCACTTGTAGCCTTACTGAACACATTTAGAGCAAGACCAACCTTCATCTTATCAAAGTGACTTGGCTCGATGGCTGCAGCTGAAAGATGGGGAGCTATATTTAAGGCCATCCCTTCCTGAAAGGTCAATAAGTCCTTAATGGGGACCACAGAAACCTCGTTAGAGGGGAGGTTCTCTCTGTTAACAACATCCTCAGGAATTATGAAGACCTGCCCACGGACAAGGGCACTTTTTAAATTTTTTACCAGATGTGGGACATCGGGCATGAAATAGAGCTGCCTGTCTGGTTTTGCTGGATGTGGCACCGATGTTTTATTTTGGTCCACCCCAAAGGATTTCCACATGGCTCGGTTAGGGCTACCCATGTCGGTGGTGACATCAAGCACATGTAGCCCTATGGATGCTGCCCTCTGTATTATCTCAATAATGATTGGCCTGTACTCTGCTCCATTGGTAGAATTGCCAGTGTAATGATATGCCACTACTTGCTTCCACCGTGTTGTGTTTCCAGCCAACATAAACACACAAGCATGTGTTGCCACCCCTGTGTGACCTGGTAAAGTCACATCACCGTACAGTTTGCCTGTAATCATGTCTAACTCCACACTTGGTGTGATTGTCATTTCATCCAAGGTCAACACACACTCCCTTTCAAGGTCTGTCAATTTATCTGCCTTCAATTTTAGGAAATCAAAGACCTCTGTCAACACACCAGGCTCAAACTTAACACATTGCATCCTTCTTTGCAGTGTCCTTATTCCTGGAAGGGGAATCTTCAATTCCTGCAGAGTTTTGTAACCCGTTGGTCCGCTCGCAAAGCGAATTTTTAAAGCCTTCTTAATTGTCTCATTGCTCCATTTCATCCCCTTTGTGGTGAGTCTGCCTAATGCCTTCAGTTGGTCTTTTGAAAACGTTTTCTTATATTTCTTGTCCCTAATTGTCATTGTTTTCTTGAGAGCTGCATTTTCCTTCCTGATTTTTCTTAGTGCAGCCTTTGCTTTTTTGGTGATTCCTTCTTGGCTCTTTAATTGTTGTAATAGATCTGTTTGAATGGCTGCTGGTTCCCTCGTATGCTGACTGGCTGCTGGTTCCCTCGTATGCTGACTGGCTGCTGGTTCCCTCGTATGCTGACTGGCTGCTGGCTGAGTGGGTGGTGTCCGCCCTCCCTGTCTCTCCTCACTAGCCATGTCCTCTCTTTCTTCACCCTCACTTTCCTTTCTCTCAGTCTCCTCATCCCTTCTTCCCTCAATCTTTGAGACTAATGTAAGTAGAAGACATGGCACTGTAAATGTTCGAACATTTAAAATATTATACCACTTAAAAATAAGAAATATTACTTTTGTTACTAAGAGTTCATACTTATTATACCTGTGTCACCTTTCACACTATAGCTGTGATCATGAGCTATGGGCTTTGTAGATACAGGTCCCGGGGTGAATCGTGGTGCAGGGGCCCTTCTCTTTTTGACCACAGGGCGATGCACGAAGATGGTGGGTATAGCCTCTGCTCTCAGCCTAGTCTTGCCCTTTTTTGTCTTGACAAACTGGTCTGCATCAAAATGTGCCTGCGGAGTGACTTGAGGTTACTTCACACACAGAACAACTGTGTCTGAATCTTGTCTGCCCACATACATATTCCATAGTGGTTGAATACACAGTATTAGGAAACACTTTATACTTACTGGACATTTTATACTCATTACATACTGTATATAAAATATGACCAAGAATGTGAGACAACTTTATAGAAATTCATATCACATCTGTTACTGATGCAATTTGTCATACTTTATTAAATTCACAAATAATAAAGTTCCATAACTTCAGTTGGGAACAAAGACCACACCTTATCTCCCCAAGGCAATTTCCCATCTAATAGGTGTGCTATATAGGTGTGTATAACCCTTTCTCCTGTCTGTTTATCCCTCTTTCAGCACAAGAACCAGAGGGGGATTCAATGGAGCCTGAATACCTGCACTGAGACCCTCACCCTGCACCCTGAGTCTCAACTCTGTGTTTTTCAAGCCTTTCCCTGTTTTTTTGTATTAAACAAAACATTAAGCTTTCCCAATGGTGTGGTTTTCGTTTTGTGAAAAAGTGCAAATGCAGTGTTTGTATATAATTACCTCACATATTTTTTTGCTGTTGGTCGTGAAATTGCTCCTGCTGACTTGAGCCAGCCATTTTTTCCTCCGCTCTGTGTCAGTGGGGAAGCCGTACATTTGTACTCCTTTCTCGGAGCGATTTGAGCATCCCCAGGCAGCACAGCAAACCATGGTGGCGACTGGGAGGCAGCACAGCAAACCAGGACAACACGGAGGAAAAGGCACAGACAAACTGCATGATATGCTATTCAATGTTTATTGAATTCCATGTATTTGCAATGGATAATCCTAAAACAACACATTTAACATCATCATCATCATGCTGCTGCTGCTAGTCCTTTGATAGTCACCTGTCGGTCTCCTGTCCTTTCTGAAAGCCATAAAGATGACATTAGTCATTTAGATAACTTGTGTCCTCAATTACCATGGGATTACTGAAACTACCATGAATTTAAGAAAATGGTAGACATTAATCTAATCTGAATTTTAAAGCATTACTTTAGATCCCCTCCCTCTAAATATATCAATAAACATTAGAAAGTGATGCTCCTGACTACCATACAAGTTTAAGAAGATAATATTGGTTTTAAAGAATTCAAAGCTATAAATAAACAGCAACAGGCTCTTTAACCAAGGCACTGTTAGCCTACCATGTAAACTAGTTGTTCACACTAATCCTAATATTATCACTTAATATTAGCAAATTCTATTTTATTTTTTAAAACATATTGATGTAAATACATACACATATCGATTTGTTGTATAAATATTGCAAATCAAAACCTTTATTCACTAATAATTACCAAAAATCGTAGTTCTATCTCCTGTTATCAGTGCATTCACATTGCCCGCCATGAACTTCCGGGGAACGATCCTCGTCTACATGAACCACGTGACGATAACCGTTTTTGGACTTCCGTTGTCGTAACTCTTCTATTATACGGCTCTGGTGTATTGTATTCACTGAATTTCACTCTCTGCCTTTAACGGCTTGTTGTAGCTCCAGCCGCCACCCTCCCTGTGAGCACAGTGTGCTCTGATTGGTCGGGACCAAACCTGCTGAACACGTAACATGAACGTGCCGGGCGGCGCGGTCCCGTGGGTTAGATGCGCGTTCATAATGGGGAAATAACTCTCAGAATAACGTTATTAGCACATTTTTACAACTTGAGGAACGAATGTTTTTAATAAGGGCTATACAAGTGTTCATACTGGGTAGTTTATTTAGTTTAAAAAAAAGTATCCAACGATTTACAGACCACTCTTTCCACATGTAAGTCAATGGGAAAAAGTGTTTCCGGGCCTGGCAACCAAACGGAAGTGTAGTACCGCCGTTTGGCCACCACGAATTTTTTCATCTGAGTCCGGCGCACTTCCTGGCGGCTTGGTAGTGACACCCTCCTTATGGGAGCTCAGCTCCCATTGGCTCCCACGTAACTCGAACCCTGCCTACAAAAATCACTCGTGGGTGATTATGGCTGAAGGGAGCTGAGAGGGTAATTTCCTGTTTTGTTTTCTGGTCGATGTTGTCTGACAGCCGTCTCCTCGAGGTCACCTGCAGGAGCCTCCTGTGGTCCAGGAGGGAGGACTGACGTTTGTGTTCACCGAGGAGGAGTCTGTTGGTGGACTTCCAGTAGCTGCCTGGCCACCGCCTTCTTTCTGCTCCCCCCCCCCCTCCTCCTCCTCCTCCTCATCCGCTACTGCAGCAGCAGCCCGGTGCCTCCCGGATCCATGAAGGAAGCCCCTCTGCACGGCACGTCCCCTGCCACGATGGGCCGCAAGCTATACACTGCGTTGTTGTGTTGATAATGAGATATTTCAGTTATCAAATATGAATCATGCATTTTATATTTCTGGCCACTTTGCTCGTCAGCATCCTTTCGCCTTGGCTTCATCTATCACTAGCGTCATCCGGTATGTATTGCAATAGCCTGCTGGCTTTCTTTTATGCTCACTTTCATCTTATTAAATAGGCGTTTCACTTTATGTGCCGGGCTAAAATAACATCTGAAAATGTACTGCGGGTGCACAACATCGTGTTCCACCCCGCAAAAAAACGATATTTGATTTAATATGCGGCATCTACAGCGTGATGGTGCATGGGACAGATTACAGCATCTCAGCATCTATCGTTGAGCTCTTAAAACAGATAGTGCTTTTTAGTATGTTGAAGTATCACAGTGAATTAACAGTGTTTTTTTTTTACTTTAAGTGCATTGTATTATATGCTATTGTTGTCTGAGGCTGTTTGGATTTATATTGCAAAATACACACTGCATTAATCCATCTGATGCAGAGTTTTTGACTTTGGCAATGCACAAGTAGCCTTACTGAAATGAAGCTATTTATATTCTGTATTGTAAATCAACCGTATGTGGTTGACTGTCAGTATACGATAGCATGTAACCATCTTCCTGAACTGTGTCCTGAAGAATCGCAATGAAGCCGGGGCCACTTTCCTCAGTATTGTCAATGCGTTTCATGAATAAAGCATGACATTTGGCTGTGTATGTGTTTGTCAGGTTTTTCATGTATGGTGGCAATTGTCTTGCAGATTCTCAAGGAGTAGGGGACAAGGTTGAATGGGACGCAGTGCCAGCCTCGCCAGAGCAACAGGCAACTGCAGCACCTGCCACAGACAACACAACCCACCATGCAGTAGAGCATGTGATCACCTACCCCTCCCGTTTGATATACTACCTAAACGAGGACTCAGAGAGTACTTACCATGACCTGGACACCCGGATCAAAAACCAAGCCACAGACGGGCAGGTAAGTCAGCAAGAAGGAAGGGTGGGGGAGAGTGATTGATACTGGGATGTGGTCAGAAGTTATTTGCTATTCACTTAATAGCATGCTGTGTGGCCAAGGCTTTGAAGTTAGAAGTAAGAAGCAGTACATTACGGTTTATGCATTTATAAACTGGAAGGATGCCAGAGCCACCATGCTAAAGCTAAAGGAAACCTTTTCTTCCAGCTTTCCCACTTTGCATTACCATCTGCCATGCATCTGTCATCAGTGCACTGTACTGTGGAGGATGTTGAAGGTGGACCCTAGAGGATTTTCAGTTTGTAGACGACCATAATCGTAAACTTTGCATCATCTCTAATAACAACTCTCCTTTACAGCCGGTCCACCTCGCTCAAGCCAGTTTCCAGTTAGAGGCCTTTGGCTCCAGATTTGCTCTGGATCTAGCATTGAACACGTAAGTCCATCTCATCTTATCCAGTAACTAGGGCTGTTGTGAGTTTGTCTACAATGTTGTCATTCAAAAGTACTACTAAAAATATAGTCATCTAAGTCCAAAACAACAAATGAGTATCCCTATACTAACCATGTTCATATGGTTTCAGGTTAGCTAAAACTTGTGATTTTAGATATACTTAGCTGGTGTTGTCATTAAAGCTAAACTCCAGATGTTGACCCCTATGCATGCACAGGGGGCTACTGTGGCCCGTTTTTTTACTTTTCTATCTGACTCAGAGACATGTTTGTGAAATTATTAATTTCCTGAATATCTACAACAGAGGTGGCAAGTGCAAAGTTGGCACCACTCATAGAGTCCTAATAGCAACATTTACGAGAAGAAAACCGATTAAATAAACCGGAACTTCCCTTTAATCATTACAAACGTCCATATGTGTGGCTGAAGTTACAGTGAGATAGATTGATCTGTTTTTTACAACAACGTCTATCCTCTGTCAAGGTCATGTTGACAGTAATGTGCAGATGGTTGAAAATTGCAGTACGTCAGTATTTTCATTCATCAGGGGGTTAAAGAGAAGCTGTGTAAACCTTCCTGCCACAACAGATCCACACTTGGACTCGCCATATGGATATTATAGAAAAATACTGTAAAAAAGCTTTTTAGAAATGCATAATATGAAAGCTGTGATTTAGGATTGTATCTCCTATCGCAAGGCTATTTAGTTGTACTAAATGAAGGCTTAGTGTAAACTTAATATGAGCTTTAGTAAGCTTATTAAGAATAGAGTTAGATTGGATATTAGAAAGATTCAAAAAGCATGCCAGTAAGTACAAACTAACATCAAACATAATATATCACTAAACATCATTTTTTACTATGGAAAGATCAACACCCTCATAGGCGACAATTACATTTAGGCTTAGGGCAGGGGTGTCAAACTCAAGGCCCGTGGCCAAATCCGGCCCGCGACTTCATTTTATGTGGCCCGCAAGAGCTTGCAAAGAATATAATACGTTTACATGCCACTTTACAGAAGCAGGTTGCCCATAAACTACATGTCCCACAATGCATCTCATTTTGTGACATGCACACTGAAGAGACTTATCTAGAACTTCTGCTTTCAAACGTAGTTAGTTATTACCCTATCCGATAATAATCCAATTCAGAGGCAATAATGTAATATAATACATTATTTTATATATATATATATATATATATATATATATATATATTATATATTTATATAAGTATATTTATATAGTTACAACCGGCCCTTTGAGTGCAACCATAATGCTAATGTGGCCCGCGATGAAATTGAGTTTGACACCCCTGGCTTAGGGCATCACACGCACGACACTTGTGATTCCCATCTGAAGATGACGTTTGTAAATGATACGCACTATTATATGTCAGATCAGTGATTAATGCAGCGCCGGTCGACGATAATGTAATCATGGAAACTGTAATTGAATAGGTCAGCGCCCTAGTTTCTAGAATCCTCATTTCCAGAGTGCTAAAGGTATTTTATTTCAGCATCCAGACTACTAGGACTATTTGAGAAAAAGATCTGGAAACACAAATATTCATCTTTAATGAGGTTTAATCGGTTTGCATCAGAACCTGCAGAGAGAAAGTTAGTCTGTGGTGTTTGATCACTGTCCCGTTTGGAGACACGATGCTCTTGGACACTCGATGCTATTGATTTGCTGCCTTCTCAAAATAGCCGGTCTACATGTGTGAAGGCTTAATGTTCATGTGTACAAGGACTTTAAAATGCTTATTGAATTCCATGTCCTTTAATGTGATTCCAAGCTCGATTCTGTAACATAATATTGTACATTTATATTATCTGCATAGTGGAATGCTGTTTTTTTTGTTATCTACTTGCTGGTATTCTGTGTCTGGTTGCTTTATTTAAGTTGGAAATATGATCTCTTCAGCAAACAAAAGTAATTATGGAAGGTTTTACTGGGTTGGACATTTAGGTTCTTGCTAATAGCTGTAGTAACACAGTGTTGAAAGGAAATTACTCTGGATGCTTTGCTATCTGTTTAAGTAGTTTGAGTGTTATTTCAATGCCACTGTAGGAAGTGCAGATATCAGCAAGCAACTATCCGCAGTGAAGTGTGTGTTATTGTGTAACTGTACAAGGTTAGATAATATAGGAGATACTCCAGGAATTCAGGGAGGTTTTTAAACGAATATAAGCAGAGTCAATACAGTCACACTTGCTAGTGTCCATGTAATGATTGCAGCTTACGTGAAGTAGCATGGAGAAAGATACATGTACAACGTAACCCTTGCCATGTCACTCCCATCCCACACATTCACACATCATGTCTAAAAGATGTTGTCCTGTACATTTATCACACATCCAATGATCCCCACTTAACAGAGGAGCAACTCTTTGCAGCAGCAGTAGAGAGGGTTGAAAGTGTGACCTTGATTCCAAGCTGTTTGCTTGTTTTGTAGGTTATCTGTGAGATACATGAGCTAACACAGTGTGTGCCTTTTTTGTGTGAGAACAGGGGTTTGAATTCTGCTTGGTGTTGTAGCTGCGACAGTACAGATCTAAATATAGATACAACCTGCCAATGAGTGCTACTTTATCTACTCACCTTTACTGTACCTGGATTGCAAATCAAGGTGGCCATTTCTTTCCACTTAAAGACAAGTCAATTGAAATAAATTGATATAATTGAAACAGAAGGGAAAACTACTTCTTCAGAGCATCTATATTTATTTAGACTAATTATTTACATGTGTTGGAGTAATGAACATTATTAAGTGTCACTACTGCATTTGATCTGGCGCCAGACGAAGGAACCTCTTGCAGTTTTCCTGGGCCTCGCCTCTGTCTCGCTGCTGCAGTCTCCCGTGAACTGAGAGACCTCAGTCCAGAGCTTCCTTCTCATGGTCTCCTCACACTTTCACATGCATTTTAAACGCACACACACTTCGTTTCACTCGTAGTGCCTTTACTCCTCCATGCTCTGCAGTGCTTCCCACTCACACACTCATACGAACACCGATACACGCTTAAGTGTGGCCCACTCTCCTGGCCCTGCCTCATCTGTTTCCCTATTAATAGCCCCTCACTCAGGAATCTCTCACAGACGGCGCTCATACCTGGACTCTCCTCTCATAATGGTGCACTTCCGGCTCACATGCTGCTGAGCATCACTCACAAATGTCACTCTGCTGGTGTTACAGCACTAGATCCATCTCTTCTATCTGTTTTATACCTTTTTTCTGTTGCTGTGATGACACTACATGTCCATGGAGAGGAGGAGTTTTTTTTTTTTCAAGGTTACTCTGGGGAAAAAACGCTATTGTGGCAGAAATGGCAGTCTCTTGAAGTCAGCTGTCGGCTAACAGATTGAGTGTGTTAAATGGTGAGGGACGCTGACTCAGATAGAGGGACCTGCCGGGAGGATCGCTGTGTTCAAGGTGAAGCCGAGGCCTTGAAATCATTACAACATTAGGCGTCATTGGCAGCTTTTTAGAAAACATTATCTCTTTCTGTTCCTGTTATGAGAGCTGTTCCTCAACCAGTGATCTAATTTTGGGACATTTGAGGAACATGTCCTGTCCATGAACTCTTGTAAAATGTAGTTTTCTAAATGATTGTTTCAACTTCTCGGTTCACTTGGTTAACTCATGCCCACTTTGCTAAAATTGTGAGGGAACTGCGCATCTTGTTGAAGCAGTATTTATTGTATAACATGTGTCATCATTTTTCCTGAGGTTAGGCAACATTTAACGTATTTTTCGCAGTATTGAAAAGCCATTGGAGTGTTTGTGCAGGCTAATCCAGGCACAGTGGTGATGAGTGTTCTTGTTTAAACGCCAACCAAAGCACTACTCACCGCTAAGTGAAAACCACAATATGTGAGTCACAGAAAGTAAAGGCAGACAGACTTGTTTTTTATTGTCGCTGCATCACATCCGTCCACATTAACCAAATAAAATCTGTGTTTTACAGTGACTTGCTGTCTTCCGATTACGTTGAGATCCACTATGAGGCGGGGAAACCTGTTCTTTCTAAGGTAACATTTTTTTTGTGTGACTAAAATGGTACAGGACACATCTGTCTTGTTTTGGAGTCTTTGTTCTCTTTAGCTGCTGTTTTTATTTTTACACTGTCACGCAAGTTTGACGGTATGTAAAAGACACAAATATGCTTGGTCTCCACTTTAGGTTATAGACTTTGAAAAAAAAGACAGGAACAGATGTGAGTGCTGATTTCCTGAAGTCCAGTTTCACCTCTTATCATCAAACCTATTGAAAGTTGGTTATCAAATCAGCAACTGTCATGTCATCCCCATAACTACAATTACACCAAGGCAATCTTGTATGCAGAATAAGAAAAATAACTAATTGTACAGCAAAAAGAGATAGGTAGGTTGGTTGATAGATGGACTAACGTAGGTTGATTAAAATGTGATCGTACATGATTTTCCTAGAACTGAAGGAAAGAGGAGATGGAAAGCGGGGGGGGGGGGACCAGGTTGGGAATGAGAGCTGGATCAGGCTGCTGCTGATTCAGGAACAGGGCTGTAGCTGAATCAGCAGGGTTTTGCTCTCCTGCAGACTCCTGCTGCTGGAGCTCTGGTCACATGACAAGGGGAGAGAAAGCCCTCTGCAGTATCAGTGCAGCGTGGGATGGGGGGAGAGAGGAGAGAGAGAGAGAGAGAGAGAGAGAGAGAGAGAGAGAGAGAGAGAGAGAGAGAGAGAGAGAGAGAGAGAGAGAGAAGCGAGGAGAGAGAGAGAGAGAGATAGCATAGAAGATATCTCTCTCGCCTTACTCTATCTCTCTCTCATCTCTATCTCTCTCTCTCTCTATCTCTCTCTCTCTCTCTATCGCGTCTCTCTCCTGCGCTCCTCTCTCTCTCTTCTCACTCTCTCTCTCTGAGAGGAGAGAGAATCCACCTGCTACACCCCTGCCTGGATCTGACAGCTGAGTCATTGATAGTGCCAGGACCCATCATTGCAATGTTTTAACTTCACATCTTAACAAGCAAAGACCTCCTGCAGAAATGCGTTGCTAATGTACTAAGCCGGCATCTGTGAAACAAGCTGTTACCTCCTCTGAGATGTTAGAAAATTCCAGCGCATGATCATTAAGTAAAGTATATGACATATTCACGTAATGGTGAATCATTACTGTAGGCTCAGTTCTGTGTGTGGTGCTGCCAGGAATGCTGCTTAAGTTAAAGGTGAGTTTTTCTGTGATGCTGCATTAGCACTGTGTCTTCTTCCCTTAGGGCGGTGAGCACTGTTACTACCACGGCCAGGTGAGAGGGAACGATAACTCCCATGTGGCCTTATCTACCTGCAACGGGCTGCAGTAAGTGAACAGCAGTGTTGTGTGTAATCCTCGCCGTGTTCAGAATATTTCTGGATCCACTCATCTCTGGTCCTCAGCTCCTATTGACTCACTATCGTCTTCTTTCTCTCTCTTTTTTACTCTCTCTGCCCGGCAGTGGGATGTTTGACGATGGAGTCTATGTGTATCTAATTGAGCCCTTACAGCAGACTCATTCAATCGTAAGTTATTCCTTACGCAGAGAAACTAAATATGTAGCACACTAAGGTTACCATCTGCTCACCTCCACCTCGCATGCAAAACAAGCCTCAGCTGTTTACTGATTTTTAGATTTTCTACTGATGGTAAGCTAATCACTCTAACATGAGACAATGAAGCACTGGCCAGCAAAGTAGTCAAGTACATTTTCTCACGTTCTAGTATACAGAATTTTGCTTTAATCTTAACTTATTTTATTGCATTGGACATGTGGTTATGTTGAGTCTTGTTATTGTTGTTTTGTATTAGTTTCAGTAGTAGAACTGGGTAATCTAGTTGATATCAATATCAGAACAGTAATGTATGACTTCACTATGCATCGTAGTATTTCAAGTTTATCTAAAAACTGATGTCCAAAAAACTTAACTGTAATGCATCACATGAACCTAAACTCTTCATATGTGAATAGCAGTACATTTTGCAATATTTATATATACTTTTTGGGGAATATGCTTATTCACTGTCCTGAAGAGTTAGGTGAGAAAACATTTTAATATCTGTTGGGTAAATATGAAGCTACAGGCAGCAGCCAGTTGGAATAGAGACTTAAAGTAGAGGGAAATATCTAGTCTGGATAACAGTTCCTGGTTTAAAAAAACAGAAACATTTTCTAGTAGAGATAACATCCAATAAAGTAACAAGATGCCGATAATCCACAAATGCTGCTTTGTGGATTTGTCAATTTGAGACGATACCAGGTTTCCCCTGTTTTCTGTCTTAATACTAAACGGATCTAACATGCTCATGGCTGTAACCTCATATCAAGCACTTTTGGATTTCTGATCAATCTCTCAGCAATTTACACATGTTGTTCTCGGCCTGCAGGATACAGCTGCAAGGCCTCACAAACTAAGAAGAACAGCCTCTATTCAGTGGAACAATGATGTAGAGGAACAGGGTGAGTGTTTCCTTCACTTTCGCCACATTTCAAATGACCCTGACTTTAATTTCCGCTTATGATAGTCCACCACAAAGCTCTAAGGTAGCTGTACTAATCTCTGAGGTTGTAGTAATAGAACTTTAAAATAAATTCAATGATTGTTTCAGTTTAACGTTTTATAATGTGTACTTTGGATAAGTCACAAAGGGAATAACACTTGGAGAATTTGCTTTAATTTATTTTACAGTGGTGGTGTTTGTTGCCTCCTACCATGTTTGCCAAGTTGAATGACTCCAGCCTAGCATCTGCACCGTGATTTAACACAGCACTAAAGGGGCACTTCAGGAAAACCATTTTGGATGTTCTGGGTTGGAGCATAATGAAAACGAATCCCTGCGGCCTTGAACTCACGAAAGAGGCAAACCCAGTTGTAAATACATCATAATGTCACTGTTTCCTTGTGTTTGTTCGTAGTTGAGGAGGAGGAGCAGCTCTTCTCAGAACTGGATGACTTGTCCTGGCTGAAGCGCAGGAAAAAGCGAGCAGTAAGTCTGTCCTCTAAGCTAACCCTGATGTACTGTTGTGACAAACTTTAACACAGCCTTGAATTGTTATGAATTAAATAACTTTGCATGACATTAAATGGTTCAATGTTTTTGTTTTGCAGATGCCTCGCAATGTATTTGAGGAGATGAAGTATTTGGAGATCATGATTGTCAGTGATCACAGTATGGTATGATACTCATATCTCTCATATGTATATATTAAAACAACTCATTCATATTTTAGGACCTACACTGCTTTTTTTCCCACAAGAGGGACCAGTGAATGTAGAATAGTTTATTTAGTGAGCATCATTAAATCACTACAGCTGATTTATCTTTGTTCTATTTTTTTGTGCTTGCAGTATAAACGACACAAGACCAAACAGCACACAAGGAATTTTGCCAAATCGGTGGTGAATTTTGTGGATGCTGTAAGTAAAGTCTTAATTTGTTTTTATATACAACCACTAAGAATGTACATACAAAAAATGAGTTGGCTCTGGGAAACGCAAAATAACTTAAATCACTAAAATAATATGTTGAAATGTAACCATAATGAAACTTTTGCACTTCATTGTAATTATGAGGATATTAGCATGATTATGTTAGCATTTAGCTTAAAGCTTCACAGTGCTTATATCCACAGCCTAACAGTGCTGGAAGAAGTTTGCCTACATTTAACTTAAGCAAAGTAGTAATCCCACTCTGTAGAAATACTCTTCTCCATGAAAAAGTCCCGTGTATCAGATTTTCACTTGAGTAACAAAAGTATTAAAGTCAAATATAATAAGTATTTGTATTAAAGAAAACGTACTTGTTGGCCAAAATGTTCCTATTCAGAGAGTTATATTATTATATAGATCAAACTATTGGCTTACTATTATTACTGATGCTTTAACACATAGCATAAGTTACATGTTGTAATTGTTTTGCTGATGTATTACTAGTACAGCAGAAGACAGCCTTGTGTTTCATAATGGAGTACATCTTTCTAACCCTGAGTCGACCCAAAAGTTGTATTTTCTTATGTGTTAATCTTTGTATTGTGAAGGTGTTTGCTCTGTGTTCTTGTCACATGCATTAACACACCCTGTCCTCCTTTTTCCCAGAGTGCTGCATCCCCAGATTAATATTCACACCCAGCGTTGTTCTCCTTTCCCTGTTGCCGCTTTCACTCTCTATCCTCTCTCCCTGCCTTTTATTATTCTGGCATTCACTGCGCGCTTCAATGGCAGATCTTCAAAGAGCAACTTCACACACGCGTGGTGCTCGTTGCCGTGGAGATCTGGACGGACAAGGATCAGATCCCCGTCAGCGTGAGGCCGCTGGAGATGCTGCGGGATTTCTCCAAGTACCGGCAGCAGAGCATCAAGCACCATGCCGACGCTGTGCACCTCTTCTCGTAAGTTATTCATTTTCACTTAATGTCTTTGCATTGCCCTTACTTCATACAACATACAACAGAAATACACATATGAAAAATAATAAAAAACTAATAACTCTTTCCTTTTGAAGTAGTGACAAACCAAATCATTTAATACTGAGTGACATAGTGATGGCATAACCCTTAGTTTATTACATTTATTTACATATTACCCTTTTTACATTGCACATTTTGTATAACTCGGATTAAATTCATAACAAAATAAAATAAGCTTTTTCTGCATATCCTTTTGAATTGTATGTTTTCTTTGATTTCTGTTATGTGCTATTTTTAAATATAAATACAAAGAACAGATAAATGTTAGATATCAATTCGTTTCCATTGGTTTTTTTCTCTGATGGAAGTGTATTTTGGTTGTTTTGCTGTGTCTTCAGGAGCAAATTTGTACATCTCACTTTTTGAATCTTCTGTGATGTTTTTTACCTTTTCATCTGTTGTTCATGTCTGCCTTTTTGTTTTCCTTTATTTCTGTAGAAATGCGACCTTCCACTACCGCAGGAGCAGCGCAGCATACTTTGGAGGCATGTGTTCTGGGAGCCGAGGAGTAGGCGTCAACGAGGTAGATTTGCTCTTAAACACTGTATCTGTATCATAGAGAGTGACTGCAGGTGAATAATCTCACGCCTCTGCTGTGTCCACAGTACGGCAGCACCTGGTCCATGGCGGGGTCTCTATCCCAGAGCCTGGCTCAGAACCTGGGCATCCAGTGGGACCCCCCATCGAAGAGAAGTACACATGAACACACACAATGTCACGTTTTAGCTAGTTTAAAAGAACGTAGGGATGTCAGACTATTCAGAGCCAAAATCACAACGTTCCCATCATTAAAATGACAAAAACATGTTTTCCTCTTGTTGTATATACGACTTAGCAGATAGTTCTATTGGGAGTTACTGAAGACAAAAGACAAAGGGGTCTGCCAAAGGATTTATGATGCCATGAACTAAGACTTTGGAAGTTTTTTTTTCAACTTTTTTTTAATGTTCGGTAGACAAAGGGTCTCAATTAAACTGTCCACAGAGAGGTCTGTGGTTTGACCTGAGGAATCTTTGTTCTGGATTTGTGCTTTGACATCAGAAAGTCATTGGCATGACCGTTTAAATCTTACAACTTCAGCATATACAACAAAACTGTTGGCATGGCTTGATCCCTCTAGGCATAAGTATAAGTATATTTTTGGTTTTGTGTTGATTCTGAAAAGCACATTAATTGCCTGAATATTGGTCTGTACATTTTTCTGTAATCCACTTTAGAAAAAGTGTCATTTAAGGTTTAGAAATGTAAATAACTATCACTAAAAGCAGGAAATGTTGCCTATGAAACAGCAAAGTGCATTTTGACTGGGACAAACTGTCAACTCTTCTCTGTGCCAGACCTAACAGATGGAGAGATGACAGTCTTAGAAAAAGTGGTCCAAGAGTAGATTTTCAGCCAGGCTTGAGAAGAATGACTCATGCCATTAGCTTTAAGATCACAGTTCCTAATGAGGCAAAGTCAGAGCCGAACAGCTGCCATGTTTGATACTCAACCATCAGAGGGATTATTTTATGGCCCCCAAAAAACTGGCAGAGCTGGAGAAGAGGTTGAAGTGAAAAATAGAAATACTCTGATGAAAACTTAAGGATTCAGGTGCTAAATCCACCAATTAAATCTGATGATTTTTGATATTTTAAGGTAGAAATACAATCAATTTCATATAGTGTGTATAATATAACCTTGAATTGGAAACCTGTGTATCTCTCTGACTCTCTGTTTCTGTGGCTCTCCATCCTCTCTTTCCTGTTTGCAGAGGAATGTGGTTGTGTTGACCCGTGGGCTGGCTGCATAATGGAGGACACTGGGTAATGCCTCACACACCCCTGAGACACACGCACACACGTTTACACAGAAGAGAGGGGAAGTGGCACAATTACAGATGCTTGTTTACTGTCATTTAATAATGTAGTCACCGCACAGGGAGGGTTGGAATTAATGCAGAATTAATGTTCTGATTAAAAATCTCTGTCCAGTGTCAACCCATTTGTTTTGCAGTGTTACATAACTGTTAACCCGCAGTCACTAAGAGAATACTAATCATTAACACCTGATACAGATTGCATATTAATGCAAGGTGTAGATGGGATCAGTAGGATATTATCAAAAAGTGTTAAGAACAAGGAACTCTTTTACAGTGGGCAATACATTCATGCTTTTTTAAAATCTTAATTATGAATTGTCCTTGTATCTGCTCACAATGTTTTTGTTTTATTTACATCCTTAGTTGTTGATGAATTGGGGAAAAGTCTATGCTGCCTCTACACCTAAAGTTATCAGTTGTGATTTTAGTGGCCTCATTTTTATTCAAACTGATCCATGCCATCTCTCTTTTTATATAACATTCTGGCAGTATTCTTACAGTGCTTTAAAAGTCCTAAAATGCATTGAATTTAGTGTCTTTAGAAGGTTTAAAAAGGGCTTCCATTTCATTCACAAAGTTCTTTAATCTTCCTGTTTTTGGCAGTCAAGTTTTGTATTTGTCTGGAGACATTCTAAGACTTTAAGTAAAAGTGCACATTTTATTTTTTTTGTGGAGATCACAAAGATCTTTTGCAAACACTGTCATAGCTACAGCAGCTCATCATCTCATCATGGGAACGTTTCTTTAAGCACAACACTTTAGCCTCTTATCCAGGTCTAAGTTGCGTTGATTACATTATTAGAAATATAGGAATGATTATGTATTGCTGGAGAGTCAACCTATCAATGAATCAATCACATTTGATTTATATAGCCCAATATGACAAATTACACATTAGACAGTAAGATCACGAAACAGGTAAAACCATCAAATAATATGAGTTAAAGGTCTTAAAACCTCTTAAATGTAACTCTTATCATTGTGAAGAATTAGTATTGCATATGATAAGACAAGATATCACACACATGGCATCCCACAGTCTTTTGGACCAAGCTTCCTCCCTCACAGTTCTGGTTAATTATCACCTGATGTTCTCTCTCTTCAGGGTCCAACACCCACGGAGATTCTCCAAATGCAGCATCACAGACTACAAGGACTTCCTTTTGAGAGGTGGAGGCTCATGTTTGTTTAACAGGCCAACAAAGGTAAGACGCTCACATGTTGTCCCCACCTGTCCTGAAACTCGACACCAGCTCCATCCTTTACACTGTCCTGTCTCCTTCTGTTAGCTGTTCGAGTCCACAGAGTGCGGAAATGGCTTTGTGGAAGTGGGAGAGGAGTGCGACTGTGGAGCGAGAGCAGTGAGTTTATTTAACTTCACAAAGTTGTTGTCGTGTTGTTTGTTCAGATGGATGAAGCTCTTCCTGTTTATTTTTAAGGAGTGCTACAAGGACTGCTGCAAGAAGTGTTCCCTCGCCAACGGGGCGCACTGCAGTGACGGCCCGTGCTGCAATAACACATGTCTGGTATGAGTTTGGTCTTTTTTTTTTTACAGCACAACATGTTTATATAGTATTTATTTATAGGATTATATTGTTTAATTAATCCAGCATCACTGAAATAATTTCCATTTCTACTTCTTTAATGCATTTGCAGAGTTATTACATTCAATTAACATGTATGTCTTTGGGCATCCTAGAATAATATGTTCAATCCAATATGCAAAACAGTTAAAAACATACTTCATTGAGGTAAAAAGCATATACAGTAGAGTTAAAGAAGATCAGATGACAAAATCCAATTACAAGTCAATTACAATATACGTACGGTCATGTTAAAGGTGGATTTAAAAAAGCATCAGTGTTGACATTAGTTCTCAATAAGCAATGCTTATAAAAAAACACTGATATATGGTTGATAATATGGTTAAAGGCTCTCTTCAAATCTCTTTACTTATATTCCGAGTGTATTTATTTGCCAGAAAGACACAGTCACTAAAAGTTAAAGATTAATTTGGCTGATAGCATTGACATTATTGTTATAAATCACATATTGTAGCAGCTATTATTTTTTACATCTGACTTTTATCTTCTCTTTTTTTTACCAGTTCTATCCACGAGGTTACAGCTGCCGCTATAATGTGAACGACTGTGACATCTCAGAGACCTGCTCTGGGGACTCTGGACAGGTGTTGTTGTGTTGCGCTGTGCACATTTGTTTCCGTTTCACACTGTTCATTCCTTGTTTTTCCGTGTTTATGACAATGTGCATGGCTAAGGAGAAGTCTTGTGTTTTAACTGTTTGCAGTGCCCTCCCAATCTTCATAAACAAGATGGCTACCTCTGCCAGGTTAACCAGGTACGCAGAGTGGTAAAAAGCAGCAGACATGAATCAGAAAAGCAGCTTTGGAGCAGCTGACTGAAAATATATTAACATTGTTTTTCTGTCTGAAGGGCCGCTGCCTCAACGGAGAGTGCAAAACCAGAGAAAGCCAGTGTAAATACATCTGGGGGTCAAGTAAGATCAACAATTATTTTGACTCGCATTATCTCTTGTGTTGTGAGTGTTAGAGTATCATCACACAGAGACATCTAAACAGACAATTCACGCCTCCTTTCTTTCCTTCAGAGGCTGCAGGCTCGGAGAAGTTCTGCTACGAGAAGCTGAACACGGAGGGCACAGAGAAGGGCAACTGTGGGAAGGATGGAGACAAATGGATCCAGTGTAGCAAGCAGTGAGTTTCAAATTAAGACAAATTAAATTAACAATGGAATTTTCTCTGTACATGTCAGAATGATTTCTATTTCAACAGAGGATGGGCTTTCTTAGTTTTTTTTACTGACAAAGAAGGAACGTGATGTTATTTTGAAATCAACCAATAGAGGGCCACAGAGGGAACATGTTTTCAGAGACTTAATCCCTAAAAGCATTTCATATATTTTAAGAACCTATTACTGAACCACAAGATGGAAGCTGCTCATTCCAATAAAACGTGTTTCATCAAGTTGTATACTTCAGGGTTGCTGCAGTGTTAAGCTGTCATCTCATAATCAGTGCCTTCGCCCATAGACTTGCAATTGGAGCTTTTTCTGTCATCACATGTTCATTTCCAGCTGCGTGTTTTGGCAGCAATGCTCTCTGAATTTGGTAGTTGTTAGGCCCTCAACATTGAGTTGAAGCACTGACAGGCCTCGGTTTTCGACGGTCGGGATGACTGCCGGTCCTAAGCCTGCCAGCTCGACGTTTGGTTGACGACATTAGTTTCACAAGTTGGTCTTGCACCATTTCTTGTTACTTGCAGAGGAGGTCACGTGGAGGCTGTCGTCTTCTCCTGCTTTTTCTGTCATCACATGTTCATTTCCAGCTGCGTGTTTTGGCAGCAATGCTCTCTGAATACACCCATGATGAAAACCAGAGCCACTTTTTAATGTGAAAATGCTTTCTACAACTGAAATGTAACAGCTCACTGTGAGATGAATTTTGAGTCACATCAATTCATGTATACAACAGATTTGTTAAATGAAAAAGTGAATGAAAGACAATTCTAGAGACATTTGAAACAGTACTACTAACTAATTAAAACTAAATAAATGGGTAGGGTACAGTCACAGAACATTCCTTTGTCTCAACCCTGTGATTCAGATATACGCTCTGATGTGATGGGTTTTTTCCTTTGTCCACGCCCTTCTACTACATTCCATGAAAATCTGGCCAGCAGTTTTGACATTTTTCCAAAGAGACAAACAAACATAACTTCCTTTATGGTAGTAAAGAAAGCAATCATGATAGAACTCAATCGTGTCGAGTGTTAGGACCTCAAAATCTATATAAAATGGACAATAGGATTCTGTACAGACTTCTCTCTGTGGTGTTTTTCAGCGATGTGTTCTGCGGTTACCTTCTCTGTTCCAACATTGGCCGCAACCCACGCATCGGCATTATGAAAGGAGAAATCACCCCAGCCTCCTTCAACCATCAAGGCAGACTGGTAGACTGCAGGTAAACACGAGTACTATATAATAAGACCCTTTGAGACCGTTTACTCTCATCCCGTTTTGTCACTTTTGGTATAATCTTCCATGTATGAGTTTTCTCTCCTTCTCTCTCTGCCCCCTTTCCCTATTTTCTTTATTTTTCTCTCCCTTTCCCTCCCTCCAACCTCTCCTCACAGTGGTGGCCATGTCCTTTTGGATGATGAGACAGATTTAGGCTACGTGGAGGATGGTTCTCCTTGTGGGCCGTCCATGATGTGCCTTGACCGCAAGTGTCTACCCATCCAGTCTCTCAACATGAGCACCTGCCCAACTGGACCTAATGGACAGGTGTGCTCTGCCCATGGGGTGAGTCATGCTGTACACTCACAGTATTGCCAATGGGTTAACACACTAACAAGACATGGGGGGCGGTGGTGGCAAAGTCGATAGGGACTTGGCTTGGCAACTGGAAGGTCACCAGTTCAAGACCAAGTGCTACCGAGGTGTCCCTGAGCAAGGCACCGTTCCCTACACTGCTCCCCGGGCGCCGTTCAAAATGGCAGCACACTGCTCCTAACACAGGATGGGTCAAATGCAGAGAAACAAATTCCCCACGGGGATTAATAAAGTATATCAAATCACATTTACTTGTGTGTGTAATGGTATATACATAAGCAAAGTAAAGAAAATCAAGACATCATTTAAAGTCACAGTGAGTAGGATTTCATAAAACGAAAACTATGTACAGACTCATACAAAAACATCCTATTCAGTCCTGATGTGTGACCCAGTAGAAGTGTAGTCCAGAGACCCTGCCCTCTTCCTGGATTTTCCGCCCTGAGGCATTTTGATTTCAGTTTGTACGTCCGCACGTCGCATGAACGCAACATCTTGCGAACGTGTAGTGGGATTTTCTTCAGAAACGTCAATCGGACTTAATGATGAATTTATTAGATTTTGCTGGTCAAGCTCACTGTAACTTTAAAATGTATTTTGTTGCCATAATTTAGGAATTAATATGCTACTTATGACAATTTCACACTAAAGTCTAATAAGAAAAAGGTGATAACATTTTGTAGTCAGACATAGATGTAAATTGCAACAGGACTGATTGTTTGGCATACAACGGCTGAGGCGAAACCAAGTCTTATTTTGTATTTATTTTGATTGTAAGCACACCTTCAAGAGGTAGCCTTGGAAATAGTCTCCAAAGAAAAACGCAAATATTGTGATGGTCAAAGCTTGATCCTTAACATAGAATCTGCGGTTGGCTTTCAGCTGCTGGAGAGCAACATTACCTTATTGAGCTGGGGAGGATGGTCCATCTTTGAATTATGTGCTTACAAACCACAACAGACAAATTGTGCTCATTGTACCTTTAACTCGGCTGTACAATAAATTATGGACATTCCTTCCTTCAGACATCAGCATAATGCAAACTCAGCTCGCTTAATAATGTAACTGTCCATCATGCACAATACAAGCACCCTGGCATTGTCACACTTCTTCAATAATGTACAATGATATTAACAATACACTTTTTTATCTAACTTTGCATTATTCAATATTTTACAGATTTTGTCTCATTCCTGCAGCACTCCTTGTAGGAGCCTGTTAACTGTGGATAAACAATGGAGATGATTTCCAGAAAGTCTCCCAGTGTGTCAGCACCTTTATTTACAGCTCTTTTGTTCCTCGCGTCACCTCATCTATTTCTGTCTGATTTGTGCAGGTGTGCAACAATGAAGCTACATGCACCTGCGACACCACCTGGGCGGGGACAGACTGTAGCATGCCTGACCCGCCTAAAGAGCCTGAGGCCATTCAGGACGAAGGACCCAAGGGTCGGTTTCAAACTTTTTCAACCTCTGCCGTCCGATAGAATGAATAACACTCATGTTTATGTGCACTGATTTATCCTAGCACGCTGACTAATACACTGTATACATTGTTCTGCATTACTGCAATTTCATTCTCTGTCACTATGTTAGATCTGAGTCAGCGCGCAGTTTCACAGGTGTACTGGGGTCGTAAAGACTCCATGTAAAATGGCGACGGAAGGAGAAAATAAAAGCAGCGTTAACATTTGTTTAGTTTTAGAAGATGAAATGAACACACAGTCCAGCTGTACACCTGATACTTTGACATCAGGGGGACGATCGGGGGGGCGGTAAGCGTCACAGCGGTAAGCGTCACAGCGGGAAGCCTGTCTCTTCATCCATGACTCTGAAGCAGAAGCCTGCTGTTTGTTTTTGACAGCGTGGTAATAATGCTCCTTTTCCCTCCACACAGTGAGCGTGGCCACTAACAGGCTGATAGGGGCAGTAGCAGGGACCATTCTGGCCCTGGGGGTGATTTTTGGAGGCACAGGGTGGGGAATAGAGTAAGCATTTTTAACCCTTTCACAGCTCTTCCTCTCATAGTGGTGCCTCAGTGTGCGGGCGGTCTCGTGAGCCGGCCTGAGCCCGTGTGTGCGTCCCGGTGGCTTTGTGTTTTCTTGTGTGTTGGTGATGACCATATAATTGTCATGTGATTGGATGTTTTCAGTGTCGTGTGATTGATTGATGGATTCCTCCTCCTCCTCCTCCTCCTCCTCCTCCTCCTCCTCCTCCTCCTCCTCCTCCTCCTCCTCCTCCTCCTCCTCCTCCTCCTCCTCCTCCTCCTCCTCCTCTCTTCCTGATGTTTCCTCTTTCTCCATCCTCCCTCTTCTTCTTATTGTCCCTTTTTTCCTTCTCTAATTCTTAGTCGTTATGTGGTTGCTCCTGTGATCCTCTCCTTTCTGGGGCATGTGGGGCATTTAGACAGAAAACAGTCCTGAGAAGTGTCCAGTTAGTGACCTGGCTTGTCAGTCAGTGGTAGGCTGTGTGGTGACTGGGACCCCTAAAAAGAATTTGTTCCTGCTTATACCACATATACATATAACCTGTTTGATTCAACCTTTATAGTGATGGACACCCATGGTCTAGTCTTCTGCACAACTTTAACAGACTAACAAACACTGATAATCACTACTTCAACTGACACCAGATACATGTTAAAAAAAAATCCCAGGGCCTCTACTTTATAAACTTCATAATACACACTGAAGGGGGCATGCAAAACTAAGAGTCATTTTACTGTAACAGTACTTATGGTTATGTTTTCTGTTCCATGTGAAATCCTCATTGTGTAGTTCCATGTTATTTATACAGTTAGTGAGTATAGAAACTCATGTCTTTTTCCCCATAACCTTTTACAGGTCCTAGTGCCACCAATCTAATAATAGGCTCCATCGCCGGAGCCATCCTTGTGGCTGCCATAGTGCTGGGGGGGACTGGATGGGGCTTTAAGTAAGCAACACGCCGCATGCCTCTCCTGCTGTAACTCTAGCATCCCTGCTGCTTCTAGAAACCAGGGTTTGAGCTCCTGCTACAGAATACGGACTCCAGGGTGGACACACAAACACACGCTTAACATGCATTTGAACTGCTCAACTTAAGGATGTGTAAAGGGTGATTTCTCTTTTAGGCACTGGGCTCCATGTGGGGGTCGTCTGTCCATCTGTAGTAGAACCTCAAACTGATTGGACGGGCAGAGCTCAAAGCTTGACGTGCATGTTCAGTCTTCATGAAAGAGGGGAAAGAATACTCATAGCTAAATATTTATTTTTGAAAACTTGTGTATGCTTGTATTAATAAGTAAAAATTCCCCTCTGAAATCCAAAGATAGGCCTCTAACTCTTCCCTGCATAACAAGGAAATGTACTTGCTAGTACAATAGGTTGATAAATGATAATCTACCGCTGATTAGCCTGCTGTCTTGAGCAACAGGGGTGTTACACATTTTAATCTAAATAGGACTAAGAAATATCTGAGAAATACAATCCTGCAGCCACCAAAGCATGCCAAGTAGCGAAGCATCATGGTTTTCACCAAAAACACAAAGAAAGAAAGAAAGTGAACAGCATAAGAATCATTTTTTTTGCATGTTGACTTGTTTATTTGGAGGTGGTCAGTTCATTGCACAAAGGCTGAGCCAGACCCATACTGTAGGTGATGATCTGGTCCATGGTTGTCGTGCTCTCATCACCTCCATGATCTTTTTCTCAGTCCGTTATTGTTTGAGGTTGAGACTTAAAATGGAAGTGTGAGAGCGACACAGAGACAGAGGCCAGGACCCTTTTTGTTGGCCGCAGCCTTTGTGCCATGGCTGGCCGCACCCACCTAAGATGGCCAGGCTCCACCCTAGAACAGAGCAGGACTCTCGGACCCCGCCCACACCAGCTGCCATTGCTGCCTGCTTCACAGACCTGGTACAGACACGGCGCATTGCACTGCATGAACCACGCACAGCAATAGTGCCACCTTCAACTGGCCTACTATTGGAACAGGTGCATGAGAGTGATAGAAGCCCCACAACAAGCCACAGTACGGGGAGGTTATGCATCACTCCTATTGTCGTCTTCCTTGTCGTCCCACTGTTGTGGTAGTAGATATTGTTGCTGCTGCTGCTGCTGCTGCTGCTGCTGCTGTGGTTGTTGTTTTTGTGGTTGTCTCCTCTTTCCCTCCTTTATATAGAGTTTATATATAGTTTATGTTAGCTCTTTCCTCCCAGATGGTTATGTTTTGAGTGGAACTATGTCTTTCCCATCAAAACTGGTAATGAGACATGTGTCCTACACTTCTTCACCTTGTAAACTGATGTTGCACGCACAAGCTGGTCGGCAGTTGTCTGCAAGAGGGCAACAGAGGAGATTTATGTTCATAAACCTTCAAAATGATTTATTAGCTAATTTGAAAGTGTCCATTAGGTCCACAGATAAAGTGCTTTCCTCAGTGTCATTGAAGTGACTTCTATCCAAAGCTCAGTGTCACAAATCCTAACAATAATACTCAAAGGGGAATGGATCCTGAATGAAATTAATGTGTTTACCGTCAAATATTATCAATTGGGATGTAAAGGTTTGTGAATATAAAACCCTCAGACTGCCTTGTTGCAGTCAAAGCCCACCCAGCTCAACATGGACCAGCCTTTCCTCACATCATTGTCTTCAGTATTTTGTGAAGTCATCAAAGATTATGTTTATTTTTCAGCTCTTTAATATACCAATAGATAAATAACTGTTTGTGGCATTTTACTTATGTGTCTACTAATCTGAAGAGATGAGTGTGCTTGCTTGTCCAGGTTGCACTAGCTGTGTTACAGATGTGATTATATCAAATACTGACTCCTGTTTCTTGTCTCCACGAAAGAAATGTGAAGAAACGTCGATACGACCCCAACGCCTCAGCCATTTAACCCGAGGAGAGATGGCAATATGAGACGGACTCTTCCAAGGCTTCCTTAGTTGGCTACCTGACAGCTGGACTGCACTTATTGCTGCTGATCTTTGGCATTAGATTTACTTGAAAAAGACATAGTGGACATTTTAACAAATTCCATCGTAGTGACGTTAGAAATGCAGCCTTTTCAACTCATCTCACTCATGTAACAAACCCCCCCCCCCCCTGATCTCTAGAGTGACAGAGCTCCTCTTCCATCCTTTAGTGCCAGTGCACAGGCGTTCAGGCGGAATCCACACCACTCTCTCACCTGGCATGATTATCCGCACAAAAAGCGTGCTGCTTGCTGGCCCCCTGGAATGAAGAGCCCTCTCTGCAGGGCTCTGCATGGCTACAAAAGCTACAAATATACTGCAAAAAAACATACAAAGAGAAAAAAAAACGGAATGATCTAATGCAGGAGATGGCCTTGTTAAAGCCAAACCCAGTGGAAAGCAGTTGAAGACTTATAGCTCACGTTTTAGGTGCTGTAAAGGTTAAGGAGGCTGCATGTGAGGACCCATAAGGGAAGTGCAGACCACAAAGTGAATGCACACACGCAGAATTGTACAGATAAGGAGTTCAGGTTTGGAATTAACAGCATATTTTACCAAGACATCAATTGCTTTTGTTTTTTATCTTAGCATGTTGTATAGCGGGTGTTTTTGGCAATGTTATTAAAAGAAAATTGGCCAACATTATTGACACACGCTGCACACACAGCCTCCTTCGGACAGAGTTCATATTCAGCGGACAGAGCAGCCGTGGTGGTCGAGGAGAAGCATGTCAGTTCTAGAGGGATTCGGACTGATGTCAGATTAACATCACAAAAAATCCCCCCCTCCCCGGAAGTATCTTCAACCCGCGACTCAAAAGCCAAAGAACCAATCACCTGAACATATGGATGTTGTTGCACACAGAGCACTTTCCCCTCTGTCTGCAGCCAGTGGTGCCTCTCCTACTGCTGAGGCATGAAGTCTGTCCAGCCAGGTCTCACGTAACAGTCCTCATCAACACCCACTATACTGGCTTAACCTTTTGCTCTCATAAACTCTTAGTAGAATCAAGGTCAGCTCTACTGCTAACGCTGCATGCAATCACTATAGTGGGCTTATAAATCTATATGGGAGTCCCCAAAAATCAGCAAGAAAAATATGCTACAAAAGATAGGTGCATGTCAACGACAAAAACATTTAACTTTTATTTACTATGCAAGGAGAGATATTGCACAAATGTATGGGTAATAATGATATCAATGTAGTACATGGAATTACAAAAAAACCTTCTGCTAATCAGCTAATCTTTTGTATTCGGCCACTCCCTCGTCTCGTTTCACTTCCACGTACTCAAACTATGAATGGACAAACAGAAAACAAGGAATTAATTGATATTTCCAATGAAAAAGCGAGAGAGCACCCTTTTACATTTGTGGAACTGAAAATCATTTTTGTGTGTTTTTCATCTGGTCTGATATTTTTTATCTCACACATGCACACACACGTACACAAACACACTGTATGGTGCCTGTACATAATGAGGCCTGAACAGTTTCCTTGTGCAGGGCTATTATTTCCAGTCCAGCTGATAGTTGGTGTGTTCCAGGTGCTGCCATAGCACTGGCATCGATGTAATCCTCCATGTTACTCATCATATGGCGCCCCCCTCTCACTGCATCATGTACAGTTCGACCAATGAATAAACTAATGACAAATTTTATCTGATCGTCTCTGTGTTTTTCCTTGAAAAATCATCACTGACTGAACTGATTTAATCTCCTTTATTAAAAAAGATGTAAGACTTGATGTGACAAAAAATTCAAGACAGGTACACAGTGAAGCTGATATAATTAACGTGCCAAGTAAAGTTACATCTTAATTAAATTAATTAGTGTGTTAAACAATAAAATATAGAATCCTGAAGACGATAAGTCTATGGGAAATATTTCTGGGCTTCCGGTGTGCACATTTTTAACTGTGTTGCACTTTAGTGACTAGATATTTTGGGTCAAAGGTCAATGTGACTGCACAATATATGTTTTTTCCCATGACACAAAAATTCTTACACACATGTCTTAAATGACACAATTATTAAAGTGATGACATTTTGGACTGACAGAGCTGTAAACTGCAGCTTGGCTGAGGCATACAACTGCAATGCAATACTTTTATTTTTTCCTAACATGGCAAAGGAATGATCTGCAGACAGGACCTATAGACATGATGCACTGATGAAGAGGACACCTCTGCAGTACCCAGCAAGTGGACTGCCACCTCCCCAGCTAACAGTCCTGCCTACCTATTTAGGGTCCAACAGGGAATTGAACCGGCAACCCTTCGGTTCCCATCTTAGTCTCTACAGACGGAGCAACTGCTGCACCATATTTACCTTCTTGCCTACTGATGTGTGCAGTTTGCTCTTTCTAAAGCATTGAAGTGGTAGTAACAACTGATAACGGCTATTTAATGGCCTGGTTACATTTGAAACATGTTGCTGACCGACAGCGATGAACAAACCAACAAGTACTTCTAGTTAATCAAATGAAACAGATTTTTCTTTGGTGTAGATTGTGTTCCATATAATGCTTGGATTAGCATCTATGGTTATCATCACACATTTAAAAACTCCCTTTAAAATATAGGTTTTATTTTATAAAAAAGCTGAGTATAGGCTTGTGTATACAAAAACTTTAAAGCAGATATTAATAAGTGTACCCCAAGTACCCCATGGGATACAATGCCCTTGATTCATCACTGAGCTGTATGACCAGCATGATCTGTGCGTTACAAAAAAATCTACCGTCTTAGAAATGTTATTCCGTCAGATGACATGCTCACTAGACAATTATTTCTCATCTCATAATAATAATTATTTGTACCTTTCAGTCTCTCCTCCACTCTAGAAGCATCCTAACAATTTGTTTTGCAATATGAATATAGAACTGGTATTCATTTAAATGTTATAATTTAGGCGTTGCAGCGGAAATTGTTGTAAAGTCTGCTTCTATGCATCATCAGAAGAATGAATGAGTAATAAAGAACCTTGCCAATGCATTTAGTGTTGGCCTCTTACTGTGAAAATAATTGCATTTAAGATCAGATATGTATGTGACATTTCAGTAAAAGCATAGAAACGTACCTCGTGCACTACTCTGGAACAGTGGGGCTTGTTTTGTCAGAAAGCGGAACCACCCAAGTGTCTGAGGTCAGATTGATTATGTTTCCTGCCTGGCTTTTTATATTTTTAACGTGCATTCTGGTCATACATCAAGCACAATATACCATACTACCTTGAAGCCCTGAATGTGGACATGGTCACAGAAATAAAAATAGTTGTCATTATTTGAGCCACAAACAAACAAGTCTTTCATCTGTTGAATAGAGTCAGACCTCGTCACGGTAGAAATATGGACAGGAGGTATGATTTTGCAACCATTTCTCATGCTCAATTTACATATGGTCACGTAAACTGCAACAATAAAATTAAGAAAATCAATAAGTCAACTGAGATCAAATTAATCCTTTATTAATTTCATAACCAATAAGTACTGTAAGACAGTTTTAAGCAAATAAATCCAACGTTTGCATGCTCTGACTTAACTAATGTCACATATTGCTTAGAATTCCTTGTCTTACATTATAGTTCATCAAATATCTTTGGGTTATAGATGTTTTATTTGACTTTTATAATATTCTAGACCTCATCTTGGGACCTAAGGAAATGTGATATGTGACTATTTTCAGAACGTAATATACACTGAACAAAAATATAAATGCAACACTTTTGTTTTTGCTCCCATGAGATGAACTCAAAGATCTAAAACATTTTCTATATACACAAAATAACCATTTCTCTCAAATATTGTTCACAAATCTGAAAAAATGTGTGATAGTGAGCACTTCTCCTTTGCCGAGATAATCCATCCCACCTCACAGGTGTGGCATATCAAGATGCTGATTAGACAGCATGATTATTGCACAGGTGTGCCTTAGGCTGGCCACAATAAAAGGCCACTCTGAAATGTTCAGTTTTATCACACAGCACAATGCCACAAGTTTTGAGGGAGCGTGCAATTGGCATGCTGACAGCAGGAATGTCCACCAGAGCTGTTGCCCGTGAATTGAATGTTCATTTCTCTACCATAAGCCGTCTCCAAAGGCGTTTCAGAGAATTTGGCAGTACATCCAACCGGCCTCACAACCGCAGACCACGTGTAACCACACCAGCCCAGGACCTCCACATCCAGCATGTTCACTTCCAAAATCGTCTGAGACCAGCCACTCGGACAGCTGCTGCAACAATCGGTTTGCATAACCAAAGAATTTCTGCACAAACTGTCAGAAACCGTCTCAGGGAAGCTTATCTGCATGCTCGTCGTCCTCATCGGGGTCTCGACCTGACTCCGGTTCGTCATCGTAACCGACTAGAGTGGGCAAATGCTCACATTCGATGGCATCTGGCACGTTGGAGAGGTGTTCTCTTCACGGATGAATCCCGGTTTTCACTATTCAGGGCAGATGGCAGACAGCGTGTGTAGCGTCGTGTGGGTGAGCGGTTTTCTGATGTCAATGTTGTGAATCGAGTGGCCCATGGTGGTGGTGGGGTTATGGTATGGGCAGGCATATCTTATGGACGACGAACACAGGTGCATTTTATTGATGGCATTGTGAATGCACAGAGATACCGTGACGAGATCCTGAGGCCCATTGTTGTGCCATTCATCCACGACCATCACCTCATGTTTCAGCATGGTAATGCACGGCCCCATGTTACAAGGATCTGTACACAATTCCTGGAGGCTGAAAACATCCCAGTTCTTGCATGGCCAGCATACTCACCGGACATGTCACCCATTGAGCATGTGATGCTCTGGATCGGCGTATACGACAGCGTGTTCTAGTTCCTGCCAATATCCAGCAACTTCGCACAGCCATTGAAGAGGAGTGGACCAACATTCCACAGGCCACAATCAACAACCTGATCAACTCTATGTGAAGGAGATGTGTTGCACTGCGTGAGGCAAATGGTGGTCACACCAGATACTGACTGGTTTTCGGACCCCCCCAGACCCCCCCAATAAAGCAAAACTGCACGTTTCAGAGTGGCCTTTTATTGTGGCCAGCCTAAGGCACACCTGTGCAATAATCATGTTGTCTAATCAGCATCTTGATATGCCACACCTGTGAGGTGGGATGGATTATCTCGGCAAAGGAGAAGTGCTCACTATCACAGATTTTTTCAGATTTGTGAACAATATTTGAGAGAAATGGTTATTTTGTGTATATAGAAAATGTTTTAGATCTTTGAGTTCATCTCATGAAAAATGGGAGCAAAAACAAAAGTGTTGCATTTATATTTTTGTTCAGTGTATATACAAATAATTAAAACCTAACCTATCCTTTAATCAAATGGACCAATGATATCGTCCGAATATGTCTCTGATTCATCAAAATGAGCTTTACCTAAATAAAAAATACAGCTTCTCTTGATAATCACTTAAATGTAACGGAAATATAAAAGTCAATGAAGTGTGATAAATTATGTAACATGACTCTATTATGTAACGTTATGTCAAAGATAACAAAATTGAATTATTTTCACAAAAAACGAAAATATATTCCATGATGCAACAACATAAGAGACTATGGTAAACATAAGTAATAACTAAACTTCAAATAGGGCTATGTATTTTTAAAAGTAAAGAACATTTTAAGATGCTTGCTTAAACATGATCAATAAGTAAAACATGGGCTGCAAATAAAGCATATTTAACAGCAGGTTGTAGACAAGAAGAAGCCAACATACACAGCTCGCAAAGGAGGGAGGCACTGACGTCAACTAAGAACCAACAGATATTTACCAAACTCCAAACAACGCTATAGTCTTGTTAGTCGGCCCAGCTTTGGTGGTAAGTACATTTTATTTCATTACTGCGATTTATTTAAAACATTTCTTCTTATATTAGATCATATATTAAGTTTTCTGGGTTTACATTAGATTGGTATCCCTTAAATGCTCTGGTTGATTACAGGACAAATCTGCATTTTGAATGGGTTTTTAGGGCGAATTAATAGTCTTGAATTAAAATTGCTAGGCCATTTTGGAGCCTTTAAAAAAAAGAATGCAATAAGAATAGCCTAACATGGGCTTTTAACTTGAAAAAATCATTGTTTTGAGAGAAATGTGTGTGTTAGTGAGCTACTAAAACAGCTTAACTGAGGATTTTGCGTAATCAATATTGTTAGTAAGCTTTACTGATAATAGTAACAGCTGCTTTCCTGCAGATGGTCCCGGTGCTCCTGAACATACCTGCGGCCACATTGTTCGTGCTGGGCTGCATGTGTGCCTGTGTGCCGCCGCTGCAGGGCCACAGGCCGGAGCACGGAGACCCCCTGGCGGCCCCCCGCTCCGACCCGCAGTGCTGGGACTCCTCCTCGGCTCTGCTGCTGGAGATGCGCTCCCCGAGGATAGCTGACACGGTGCCCGGCTTCTGGGGCATGATGCTGGTCCTCAGGTCGTCAGAAAACGGCAAACACACGGCGCTGTTCTGGGACCTGGCCCGGGTCTTCTGGGACCTTTACCTGGACTGCGTGCTGTCCAGGAGCCACGGCCTGGGGAGGAGGCACATCCCCACTTTACACTCCCTCATCTCTGACAGTAAGTCCATGAACCTCTTCGTGGGAATTTGTCTCAACTTATTTCAGTGTTGTCTGTCTTTTTCTTGTTCTTGTTCTTCTTTTTCTTGTTCTTCCTAATACAGAACTAAATACATGTACTGCTGTATTTATGTATCATTTTAAGGTAGCCTCCTTTTATTTGACTTGACTATTTTCATTGTATGTCACTTGCACTTCATTTATGTGAAAGGTTAGGATGCTGATTCAGATTATTAATATCAAATATTATTCAACTATAAAATGATGTTGTATCATTATGGATTAGGCCACTTAGCAGTATATACAGCCAAGTACTAAGTATATAAAGTTAGAATTGGCCCCACATTTGCCAGTTAAAAGGTCGAAGTGATTTTACACAATAATGCATTCATTTTCATGATACAATAATATAGCCTATCATTCTTAAACATGTAATTCTGCATATTGAAGAATCCACTATTAAACTGACAAAGATTTACTTTACATGGTCAGATAAGAAATATAAATATAATAAACAATGAATCATGATGTAAAACTATGGACTAACTTTATTGACCCTTTGTGGGGCATTCATTTAAATATATGAATCCATATTATACATCAAAGATAAGATCCAATAATTGAATTAAATGTGCCGCTCTGTATAATTACTCCTTTTTTTCATGACTTAACATACAAAATACGTCACCTGTGTGTGTGTGTGTGTGTGTGTGTGTGTGTGTGTGTGTGTGTGTGTGTGTGTGTGTTGTGTGTGTGTGTGTGTGTGTGTGTGTGTGTGTGTGTGTGTGTGTGTGTGTGTGTGTGTGTGTGTGTGTGTGTGTGTGTGTGTGTGTGTGTGTGTGTGTGTGTGTGTGTGTGTGTGTGTGTGTGTGTGTGTGTGTGTGTGTGTGTGTGTGTTATAGAGTTCCTTAGATTCAACAGCTCAGGAGCGATCTCCGGGGGGTGGCTCAGTTTCAGATGGAGACCAAGAAGACACATCAAGACCCTGAAGAGCAAATCCAAATCAAACCCAAACTACCACAAATAATTCATATTATTTCAGGGTTTATACATATTTTCTTCTTCCCTTTACGGTAGCCTACATGTTTCTCTCAACAGCATTTTTCATAGACATCATTTATTAGTGGGAATCCACAAATACAATTGACAGGATGGAGGCCTTAACCCAATTGTTAAAGATCTGGCAGGCAGTTTATTGTTGAAGCCATTTGCAAAAAATAAATAATCGTTCAGCTTCTTGTGAACCAAATTATCTGACAGAAATCCAGACCTCTGACCTCTGACCTTTGACCTTTGCCTCTAAAGTTTCAGAGTTAGAGAGAAGATTTAAATAACAGTTTAACCTCCCGCTGCCGCAAACAGACCTTTCTTTGATGAGTATCTTCCTGTTTTTAGGAGGCTTTACAGTGGCAGTTGTTGCCAATGCTGGAAAAGTAACCTTTCTGCAGGACATTCTCAATCAGACTTTCAAAAAAAGGGTGCGCACCAAGTCTGAATTATTTGGAACGACCTCTCTCTGAAATGACCGGAGTTTGTCCACTGTCACTAACTAGATTTCATTTGAATTACAATAAGCTAAAAGGATTTGCTAAAAGATTATTATGGACATTTTGCCTAAATCATGAAGAAATGCACAGTTTACCCCAGCTTTAAGATACCTTGAAATTATTGATCACTTCATATCACAGCCCTAAGAAAATGAATTGTTGTCCATTTTAAAAAGTCTCTATGGTTACCTGCAGTTTAACACACCTTACACACACATTCAAAATAGTGATCATATATTTGGACTGTATTTGATGTTTTGTTTTTGCTATGATGTCCCATAGAAAATAAATGTATTTCTGTAATGATGTACAATTCTTATTATGTTTGTCTATTTTGAGTGTAATAAATGAATATATCATGGCAGCAAGTTGTACATCTTGCACTATACCGTTGATATTGGTATCTTACGACACCAATACCACAAGTGATGTTACTGACAAGCTCCTCATCAAACAATGACATTAATACAGAGATACACCTATACAAATGTTAAATAGATAACTTGACAGCTCACTGTCCTACTATAGCTGACTTGGATTAAATACATAATATCTTGAATACATGTATGCATAGCCATAGCAGAACCAATTGGCAGGTTATAACAATGGAAATCCCATCAGTGGAGCTGCTGTGCCTTTAAGTAAGAAAATGCAATTTTCTGCTAATCCAATTTTGTGCAAAAGCAATTATTGCTTCAAAGGAATCTCTTAATATAGCCGAATTAGTATATCCAGTAGGAAGTGTTAGAATATGTGAGAAGTTATTTTGGTAGAACTTTACTTTATGACAGGGAAGTAATTGATTGCTTGTTTGATAACTTAAATACCTGTCTGTTTCTGGGGTCAAAGCACTTCAGTCCCGAAGTGATATCAAAATATGGGCAATTGCGTCACACAGCGACGTCTCTGAGCCGATAGAAGCATCTCTCTTTCACTTTCGATTTCGACTTCCTGCTTCTCGTTACTTGTTTAGCTAGAAACTACGCCAGGTCTACGTTAAGTTCTTGTGTTTGATTAACAAATATTTATCAGCTGTTTACGATCACCTTCAGTACTGGGAGTATGCTGAAGTGGACAAGATATATCCTGTTCGGTCAGACCTGCTAAACACACTCAAACAGGTAGGCTTACACTTACACAGCAGGACACGTTTTAAAGTGAATTCATCTGGTTTAAGGGTTAAGTTGAGCTAATAATTTAATCAAAATCTTTGGATGTTTAATAATCGCCGTGGCTGTGAGTGTTTTTTTGATCATGTGATGGAATGTAAGGCTGTTGCCTTTCTGCTACTGTTCGAGATAAGTGACGTGATCTCTTCCTTGTCATGAGATTTATTTTCTTAACAGATTTCTCTCTCTGAAAAACACATGTATGCCCATAAAGACACTAAAGCTAAAGGTAAATTAATTTGCAACATGTAGATAAACATAAAGATAAAGGACATGTTCAACTATAGGACAAACCATTTGCAATATGTAGATAAAGGGCTATAAAATACATCTGGTCCAGAATAGCATCCATCATCGTCAAAATATTTTATCTGAGAGAGAATAACCTATTTTACACATATTTGACATAACAGTATACTCCATTGGTTATAATCTTATATACTATCTTGCACAATCTTTTGAAGTTCCCTTTTTGTAATCATGTTTGATTTGTTTCTGTTTAACCAGTTTTAGTCAGGCCATTTTAAATACAACATATTTAATCTTACTGCTTTTAATATTTTTCTGTGAAATAAAAATATGAAAATTATCTGTAAGGAGCTGGTATGATGTATTCTTTTTATTGCCAGGCCCAAATCGTTTGTCACTTTTTTTCTAGCTCTCAAAATGGATTTCCAGAAGCTGCTCTTAGATGTAGGGAAGGACATATCTAGGGACGATGTAAAAGCTCTTTTATATCTTTGCACTGACCTCCTGGACCGAAACCAGACCTCAGTGGAGGCCAGAGACCTCTTCCGTCGTCTGCAAGATAAAGACCACCTCTCTGCGGAGCGACCACACCTGGTGAAGGAGCTTCTCCTCATCATCAAACGCAACCGTCTGATCCGAGACCTCGGACTCCACGACTTTACAACCAGCAACCTCATCTCTCCTTACAGGTGTACTGCCTACGTTTTACTGTTTTTACGTAAATAATTAAGTGCATTACCCAGAAGAGCGCTAACAAATGTATATCTCTATAGTAACGCATCAATCTAATATACAACTTTAAGTATTTGAATAAGGGTCATTAAGGGAATGAGCTTGTGAAATTATGTGTAGAAACAATTGTAAAGTCTATGGTTGAAAAACTCATATTGCCAAAACAATTTTTATTGTGTGTAGTAAGGATTTTAATAGAATTTACATGAATTTGTATCCTTGTTTTACAGCCAAAATCAGGGCTGATATGTGTACTTGTTGCTTAAATTAGTTCACATGTTCAACCTCTAGCACATTAGGCCAGCTTTAATAAGTTGTGCGTGGTTACAGCTGATATAATAGTGAAATAGGGTTGCAACTAACACCCTGCAGTTGATTTGCATGATGAATGGATTAGTTGTAGGTCATTGCAATGTCCAAATATAGTCCACAGTTCAAGGGGACATTTTCAACAACATACCATTTATAATACCACCATTTATCAACATCATACAAGGTCATTAAGACCAGAACATTTGCATAATTCAAAAGGCTGGAACCACATATTTGTGGGTACATTTTTACAAAAAATATGGCTTAAACAATTTTGCTGTTTTATTCTAAAAATCAACTCATCAATTGAAAGCATTTAATCATAGAAAAGGTTCCTAATCAGAGGTGCATCCTCTTTGTTAAATGTATTTGGTGACCTCACAATGGTGTCTACTTAATGTCCAGTTAAACACTTGGCCTCCTTTAGAACATTAAACAGTTTTACTTGCTTTTAATCTTTTTTTCTATTATTACAGAAAGCTGCTTTACAACCTGTCTGAGGGGATTACTGATGACGACTTGAGAAATGTGAAGTTCTTGTTAATCGGAAGGCTTGACCGTAGAAAACTGGAGGAAAATGTTGTGAGTGCATCATCACAGAGTCCTTTTTTAGAAGTTGAGATTGAGTGTGTTTATGCCAATTAATCTAAGTAGGCACCAAATAAGCATCAAATAAGCTCTTATTCAGTAAAGTGTAAAAGAAAAACTGTAATCTGATCAACTTGTCAGTCTACACTGGAGGTCTTCCTGGCGATGGAGCACATGGACCTCATCGATGACACTAATCTAAAGCTACTGGAGACCATTGTCCAATCAGTCTGTCCCATGTTGAAAGAGAAGATCAACCGCTTTAAAGCACTGCAGGGTAAGCTACAGACAAAAATAACACATGCTATATGTAATGACACATTTGGAATGAAGACACAAATAAAGACGCTGAAAGCCGCAGGATAACTTTCATAAAGTTTTACTTCATTATCAGAGTAGCGAGGTGAGGACAGCAGCACAGAAACCTCACTATACCCACAACATGCCAACTCTTCCCTAATTTATATTATTATTATTATATATCTCAAACTCCGATTTACAATTGCACCAATTACCTAGTCAAAACTTGGATGTAGGGTCCATACAAATAATATACTGAAAGAGGAAAAAGGTAGACAACTGTTTAAAAAAGAAAATATGATTTAATATTTGTTTTATATTTACTACAAAAGGAAATATTATTTTTAACTGTGGGGACTTGAGTTTTGTCTCTAAAGCGTGTCAAAATACTTTTGTCCCTCAATGTAGAATGTAGCCAAGTACCTCACACACACACACACACACACACACACACACACACACACACACACACACACACACACACACACACACACACACACACACACACACAAGTATCATGTCTTTGTGTTAGTCTTTGTGCAAATCACGATTCTATTGGTTTATGTGGGTATTTTTCAACAGAAACTAACATCAGCCCTTCAGCTGAAGAAACAGGTCGGCAAAGATCAGTGTCCTTCCCAAATGATCAAAACCAGGTACGTTCTGCGATATTTTGAAACGCTCTGAGTTTCAGTGACACATTTCTTATGTTATTATTGCCACATCTCTGAATTGTCGAACAGTAAGGCAGTGAGAATGAAGTCTTGTTCATTATTTGTGTTTGTTTCAGGTCCCTCAATCTTTAGATCTTGAGAGGGCTGCCTCATGTCAACTAGCAGGTAAAATACTTTTTTAAAGATAATTTTGGATCACCATGTTATGGTTTATCTGTGTTGAAAATAGTTAAATAAATAAATAACCCATAATACGCTTTGCTTGTATGTCAGCAATGACTATGCAAGAGTGGGTGTAAATGTATTTGTCTTTGTTATGTCATATTACGTTTTGTTAAATGATTTTTCCTTGTTATCCTTAATTACGATATATTAAGTTATACAATTAACTGTAAAATGCTGTATATTGTTTAGTTTTTTTACCATTATAGTGACAATTTTAATACCAATGATCTTTTTCTATTCTTCAGAAATATTCCCTTCAATGAATGAGGTGAGAACATACCATTAAAATGTATGACGATATCATTGTTTAATTTCTCTGTGACTTTAATGGTCTTTTCTTTTGTCGTTCACACAGTCTACCATGAATACTTCAAACACCTCTTTGGGTGAGTCTTGTGTTTGGTTGGCTATCTCAAAACTCCATCATTTGATATGCAGTGAGTGGATTATTTCTGAACCCTCTTTTATCATTTTTCAAGATTTACCAGAGGGACAAGCATGTGAGGTCCTGCCTGGGCTGAGTGATTTAAACATTGGAACAAGCAGCTGTGGCTACTTGAGAGGTACTTTTTAGAAGGTTCTTTGTTCATGTCCATCCTTTTTATTATTCATATATAATGTTTGTGTCTTTATCTTTGCCTAAATTGATTGTCCTTCCCCCATGCAATCCTCTGTTCCATAGGGAGGATTGATGCTTTGGAAATGTTGCCTTCTCAGAAAAACATGGCTTCCTCTGAAATGAAAACATCTCTGGCTACAAACACACACATTGAGGTGTGTCATTTCATATTTATTTTACAAGTACATGTGTTCAAGGAAGCAGTGATATGGCTCTGTGTGTGTTCACTAAAGCTATTGTTTGAATATGAAACCCACTGCAAAACTAAAAAAAGTGCCCTCTCAGGAGTGCAAAGCTCTACCATGTCTGTCTGCAACGACCACTGCTGTACTGTTTGATTGAATAAATACAAACCATAATTACCCCGT